TGGTCCACAAGAGCAATGTTTTCGAGGATCGGTGCAGTCAACGAGGATCTTGACGCGAACGCTGGTCGTTTTTCCGCGGGACGAGCATCGATTCTTCGCGGGACGAGGGTCATTTCTCCGTAGGAAGAGGGTCCTTTTGGCGCTTGATGAGGTGCGGCGGGAAGAGAGACCACACCTAAGTAAAACGTTTGGCAGCAGCGGAGGTTGAGGCCCTGTCGACTTTTACTGGGCTAGCCAATTTTTCGTAGAAAGTAGAAGCCACAAGTAAACTAGCCTTTTTTTTATAGCCCGACAAGCCCGCTCCAATGGCTCGCCGAAATGCACCCTGCCCTGCAGTCAATAAATAATAAATCACAAACGGCACAGCGGACTCCGACTTCCGGCGAACCTCCATTTGACACGAATGTTCACTCATTCTTACTAGGCACGATTTTGCCTTACGAACGTCGATTCACCTGTCGTTTCGATATCGAATGCATTCTATGTTCAGCCTTCTAGGAGGGAGCTCTGTAGCGCCCAAAATGATAACTGCTAGCTTTTATGTACTATTCAATTGTTGACTAATTGTACATTATTCTTGCTTGTTTTAATCTTAATTACAACTGGCTTGTCACATGACCACCTTGTAAGTTCCTGCGCTAACGTGTACCTCATGTCTTGCTTCATTCGTTCGCGTCTTCTTGTAGCCCATCGAATACAGTCCGCTGTGTCCGACTCCAATTGCCTTCTAATATCCGCGTTTACTTTCGCGCATCGTCTCGGTCTAGTAGTTACCAGTCCTATACTCCATGCACTACCGAACGATAAGAGGGGAGCTGATTCGCACTTATGGTATTTTGACGGGTACGATCAGCCCTGATTTGTCAGGGAGTTTAGTCCCGCTACGTTACCTAATCTCCGCTGTCACCCACTGAAACTGTGTAAACCACGGTGTGATAGGATTAGTAACGAAAGTCATCTGTCGTGCCGAGTTATAGATCGCTGGAATTCGCTTCCAGAGCACGTGGTTAGGTAACCTACGTTTAAGGGTTTTGCGCGCCAGCTCGATGCTCTTGGGTGACAACAGCAAACCTTTCCTTTTTCCTAGCCGACTCCTTCACTTTTCAGTTCTTTTTTTAATGACTCAAATATCTTGGTATTCCACTTGCTTAGCTCTTTCCACTTTCTCTTTAGCCTTCTGAGTTTTCTTTTTTTCTTACTTCACGCAACTGGCCCAGCAAGGACTGCTAGGGCAGGATACGTGGGCATTAATTGGTTAGACAGGGTGTGATGCGGTCTTTCTTTTAGGTCCATCAGTATTTTAAAGTCTGCCAACTCCTGGTTCAACGACCCACTGAAGAAGAAACATCCACGGGACAATCCTATCGTTCCAGTCCCGCTTGAATTGGAACTTACCATCCATCGGTTATTCAATATCTGGCACGTTCTTTTTGTGAGACCAGACACCAGCTGTCCTGAAGCTTAAAAACAACACTGCATCGTAATCATACTGCTCTTTGTGCCACTTATAACTTCACTTGTGGGTTTACTTCTCTATTTCTTTTCTATGCTGAAAGCGTGTGTGTAACAACAGCATATTTACCTTTATGGGTGCATAAAGCACATGCTTGAATTGAAAACGGTGACATTTGTTGTTAATCTGATCGCTACTGTTGTTCCTTATCGTCGTGACCCCGCCCCCTACAAAGCGTACGATAGCCAGGCAGTCATCCGATTCCACATCCGGAGCGTCGCTCTTTATATGAGTTGTAAACTTGATGTGTTGAGGACCTGTGTGTTCCAGTCGCCGGATCAAACTGTTGAAGCCCTATCGACTATGGTATGCACTTCCTCTGCTCAGTTTACAGTTGTAGTGGTATATCGAAGTCCTGGAAGGATCTGCAGGGAGGCTATTGAAGTTATTTGTACACAGACTGCCAATAGGTGTCTGATACTGAGTGACTTCAACTTTCCTGAAGTTTGCTGGGCTGATCTATCTTGCAGTTTGGCGGTGGGTACTTTCGGTTTGGATCCCCTCGAGCTAACGTTGCAACGGCCTTTACATCAGTTCTTGGACCTCCTAACCAGATATATGAGCAAGCAAAGTCCGTCCAAATTGGATCTCATTTTTTGCGAAGTCACACGGTTTCGTAAGTGATATGACATACCGCTGTCCTCTAGGAGCCGTTGACCATGGCTGCATATCCTTTCCATGTGCTCTAACTAAGTGTCATCAAGCTATCGCTGAGGCACGTCCAAATATTTGGCGGACAGACTTTACCGCAATACGAGACAAAGCTTCAGTTCTGCGTTGCCCGATCACCGTGGCTGACACCGTTGAGACAGCCTGGGAAAAATTTGAGGCATATCTCACCGAGATCTATGCTCGCCACATCCGGGCGCAACCACCTTCAATGGATCATACTGGTAAATACCTGCTCAGGAAGCGCTCTAAGTGCTGGAGAACTTCCCAAGCGGCTTCATCAACCAGCGCCTACGAAAGCTATCGAGCAGTTATAAGTAAATGTAAGCAAAATCTCAGAACTCTTGGTCTTCAGTACGAGGAGGATTTATCTGACGCAACCGTAACAAACTAAAGTTCTCCGCATACGTAAAGAGTCGCAGCGGTACAAACTCGTCTATACCGGTTTTAGTACGAGCGGACGGGACCCATGGGTATACCGACTTTTATACTTAGCTACAGATTACTGGGGTCTTTTCTCTTGAGGCCACTCTACGTCAGGTTGAGCTGGTCACAAAGTCTCGGAGGATTCTTGCCTAACTGAAATCAGCATAACGGAGACATAAGTCTTCGGGCTGTTGCGAGGGCTAAATCCTTCCAAAGCTTCTGGCCCTGATTCAATTCATCGGAAGCTGATGCATGAATTGGCCACTGAGCTAAGTGGCCCTCTGACATGCATGTTTACAATATCGCTGGACGGCTGTGCTTTACCTTCGGAATGGAAGGAGGAAATCATCTGTCCGATTTCTAAGGGCGGTGACAGAGCTCTGCCCGCGAACTACCTGCCTGTTAGCTTGACAAGCGTAGTAGTTAAGTTGTTCGAAAATTGGTCAGGGATTCGGTGGAGAATCACCTGAATAATTTTAACCTCAGTGCTGCACAGCACGGATTCCGTAAGGCATTTTTGCATCAGACTAAGTAACTTTTAGCTCGTGAAAGCTGGGCTGAGGCAGGAGACAACGGTCACGCTATCGACGTGCTTTTCGTTGACTTCTCGAAAGACTTTGATACTGTTCCACATCAACCACTCCCATTGAAGCTGAGATCGTATGGGATATCTGGAGCCGTCCTTAAGTGGGTTTCTGCTTTCCTAAGGGGGAGAGCACTGTGCATACCCGTGGGGCGTAGCCTTTCGCTTAGACAAGCTGTTCTTAGTGGAGTTCCACAGGGCTCAGTTCTAGGGCCGTTGCATTTCGCATTTTATGTTAATTATTTCACCCAGAAGCTGGAAGTACCGTCGCTATTGTTTGCTGATGATCTCAAGCTCTGGATATCCCTGCGGGCGCTGAGGCCATTCAGTGCCTTGAATAGGCTCTGGGATTGGTCAACCTTATGGTTGATGCTTATAAAACAGGCGAAATGTTCTGTCCTCGGCATTGGAGGTAGTAGTACCCCCACGCGGTATAGAGTCGGTGGAAGTGAAATCCCTGTTGTCACTCAGCAGGCTGATCTAGGTATCGTCCACACCTCAGCGCTTCACTCTGGGGATAATTGGAGGAAGGCTGCTTGTAGAGGGTTTCGTATGACGTGGTTTATTCGCCACTCTTTCGGTCTCCTAACGGTCAATATTGTGAAGCTGTTATCAGCTTTTGTGCGACCCCACTTAGAATACTGCATTCAGTTTTGTCCACCTTTCTTGTAAAGGACAAAATGGAACTGGTTTGGCAAATGGGTACAAGGTTAGTGCAGGGATTACGGGGGCAAAAGTATCCCGAACGTTTGCTTAGCTTGGGTATGTACTCAATGCACTATCGCAAAATTAGAGGAGACTTGATCCTCACTTACCGTATCCTAACGCGTAAGATCAGTCCAATCTTGTCCTGGCTATTTAATACCGCCAAGCTGTCTAGTCTCAGAGGTCACCCGTTGAAGCTCTACAAACTGCGTTCTGACAGGGTAAGGACGGAAACTCGTTTGTCGCACCGGGTTATTGAACGTTGAAACTCGCTTCCGGAGCTTTAGCGAGTCGCCTGTACCGGGAGACCTGAGAGCGATTCGAGAAGACAGATCGAGTTGCAGGGAAACTTTTATTGATGCGGTAAAAGATTCCCTGTTATCTAGCTATAAAGGAACGACACCGTGGGCGCTCTAGCTAGGGGAACGGAGCAAGCACAGCCCACAGGGCAGTCGCGAGTTGCAACCGAAGCGAGTGCCAAGCAAAAATGGCGATGAGCAAGTCAATCATACGAACTCAGCGACCAGTTCAACTAACCACACCGGTTGCCTAGGTGTATGATTAAAGTGTTTTAGTTAGAATTTTACAGAGACAAACCGGGGAATCTCCAGAATGCTACAGAGCACGTCGTTAGGGAGTCTACGGTAGAGGGTTTCGAGCGTCAGTTATATGCTCTTGGGTGGCAATACCAAACCTTCCCTTCTAACCGAGTTGTATCTTCAACTTTCTCTTCGTTTTGCTAAATTTGTCACACCTTGGTATTATCATTAGTTAGCTGACATTCCCGTGTTTTCTTAGATTACCCTTCACTTTCTTACTTCACCTAAACCGGCCTGGCAGGGACTGCTGGGCAGGAAAAGGTGGACAGTAATTGGTTGGATAGGGTGTGATGCGGTCTCTGGTTTATGATTTTCAACCTAAGCAGACTTATCAATTCCCAATTCAACGATACGCAAAAGAACATTCACGGGATTAATCTATCGTTCCGGTCCCAAATGAACTAGAAATCGCTGTCCGCAGCTAGACCAAGCGGGAAGCTTTTAGTACGAATCGATATATCATGCGCAGTTCCGACGCGCTATGGCACCCCAAGCCAAGCTGTAAGTCCGATCATGTAGAGGCGAACAGCCGACACCGCTCTGCATCTCACCAATAACGTGTAAGCATAGCACATGCGAGCTCGCGCATCAAATGCTGATTGGCTAGAAGCGCCATTGATCCAAAACCTGTGTACCGCCGTCATTGGTCAACGAGGCAGTGAATTCCAGACACACACTATAGCATGTAAAGTAGGCAACCAGCGAAATTGCTCAGTTGAGATTGTGTCGTTGCCGTAGCTCCCATTGCAACCGCAACTATGCAAATATTCGTGAAGACGCTTACCGGGAAAACGATAACACTTGATGTGGAGAGCAGTGACACGATCGAGAATGTGAAGGCGAAGATCCAGGACAAGGAGGGCATTCCGCCTGATCAGCAGCGGTTGATATTTGCAGGGAAGCAGTTGGAAGACGGTCGCACTTTGTCTGATTACAATATTCAGAAAGAGTCTACTCTTCATCTGGTATTACGCTTACGTGGCGGCATGCAGATATTCGTGAAGACGCTTACCGGGAAGACGATAACACTTGATGTGGAGAGCAGTGACACGATCGAGAATGTGAAGGCGAAGATCCAGGACAAGGAGGGCATTCCGCCTGATCAGCAGCGGTTGATATTTGCAGGGAAACAGTTGGAAGACGGTCGTACTTTGTCTGATTACAATATTCAGAAGGAGTCTACTCTTCATCTGGTGTTACGCTTACGTGGTGGCATGCAGATATTCGTGAAGACGCTTACCGGGAAAACGATAACACTCGACGTGGAGAGCAGCGACACGATTGAGAATGTGAAGGCGAAGATCCAAGACAAGGAGGGCATTCCGCCTGATCAGCAACGGTTGATATTTGCAGGGAAGCAGTTGGAAGACGGTCGTACTTTGTCTGATTACAATATTCAGAAGGAGTCTACTCTTCATTTGGTGCTTCGCTTGCGTGGAGGATAACCTGGTCCCTGAGTTTTTGGTGTTTTTAATTTACATTTCATTTGCTCGCTTTATTCTGATCCTTTTCGTGTCCTCTGATAGATTTGCTGTGTCCGTCTGCTGTGTAGTTGCCTACGAAGGCTGTGTCCTACAAGACTTTTCCAGCGTACATGACTTTAATGCGGGTGCTTTTGGAAAGTACCTGTGCGCCATCAGTTTTGCTTTGTTTACCATAGTTGATCATTCGTTTTACGTGTAATCTGCTCGATCTGCAGTATTTCTCTGATTCACTTGATCAACGCGTATTCTCTTTGCGTTAATTTTGATCTTCCGCCTACTCTAATCGCTGGGTTAGCTCGTCACATCTCTCCTTCGGTTACAAGACAATAGCCCCATGTTTTATTGAGTCACGATATTCGCCACATATGGAAGGTTTCGACGAGCAATTGGCAGTCACTATCCGAACGCTGTTAGGTACCATTGATAACCCATATTCACGCAGTTTACTGTAGGTATGTTGAATTTTTCTACGGCACCTACTCAACTGATAGGTCTCAGTCTCCATTCAGACTCGGTTATTTTCGTGTGAAAATCTCCGAGTATTCCGTAGTCGTCTGCCTATGCCGTAGCTTTCTTGTTCATGTTCTAGTGCAAGTGCCTACGCGATGAACGGTAAACTGTTTATTTCGTTTTTGGGTTTGCCGGATAAGGAAGTAGTTGTTTACTGCTTCCGCACTTTTCTGTAGTGGGTCACTGAATCTGAGGTTAACAGGACGATTGCAGTCTTGCTGAGCTTATAACAGCGTTCGCACCGCTTTGGTCCCCATATCCTTCACCATCAGACCATGTGAATTCCTCGAACACGTGGAAGTCGTTGTTTTAAAAATGTCGTACAATCATTTCCCTTCAAAATTTTAACAGAGCAAGAACAACGAACTGTTTTCGTTGCAGTGACAAAGTACAACTAGTAAATACTAGTCCAAGATGGTGCGCGAAAGTAAGCGTGGATATCAGAAGGCAATTGCAGTCGGACACAGCGGACTGTATTCTATGGGCTACAGGAAGACGCGGACCGATGAAGCAAGACAGGAAGTGCATGTTAGCGCAGGAACTTACAAAGCGGTCATGTGACAAGCCAGTTGTAATTAAGATTAAAACAAGCAAGAATAATGTACAATTAGTCAACAATTGAATAGTACATAAAAGCTAGCAGTTATCATTTTGGGCGCTACAGAGCTCCCTCCTAGAAGGCTGAACATAGAATGCATTCGATATCGAAATGACAGGTGAATCGAGTTTCTTAGGGCAAAATCATGCTTTTTTGTGGTCTAGCCAGTTTTTTTCTGTCTCACCAGCCCGCTCCGACGGCCCACCATTGATGCACTCTGGTCCATACGAGCATCATAAATAACAGCTCCATCGAAGGCTTCCATCCTTCAGCCTTCTAGGGTGCCCTCTAATCTGCCGGAAGGCACGCTCTTTCAGTATCTTGTAACATTGGATTTTACGATTGTTTTAACCTTTAAAACGTCAACTTGTTTTACTGACTGCACTTCCGTTGACACAAATCGTTTTTGTGAGTACCTTGCTGCACCGTTTTTTGCTCTGGTTGATCCGCTTCCTATTTTTATAGCCTGCACAATATAAGTTGGGTTCAGTCGCCTCCAACTCCTATACTGTCTCGTATTTGGCACGGCTCTTACGTGTCATTGGTTACCGACTAGTATCCCAGGCTCCACCCAACACAGGCGATCGGACCATAGCAGACTTTTCCCATGTCCATTCTTAAGGCGCCGATAAAAGAAAATGGAAAGGACGTTAATAGCATACGATCACTTATGTTTGACCACACGTGAGTGTTCTGCGGTTCGCAACATGAAAAGCAAAAGGGAGGCGACAGCGACGGACGGGAGAAGCACTTACCCAATAGGCAGCGAAAAGTCAAGGAAACAACTCTTTTTATCGGTTTTTGAAACCTTTTCTCCGTTTTTTCTGCTTTTCAAAACCTTTTGCTGTGGGTTTTCAAAGCATTTTGCTGTTAGAAGCAAAATTGCTATGGTAACGTTTTGAACAACATGTCGGCAGGTGAACTTGACGACCAGATTTAGTAACCCTTTTAGGCGTGACGGAGTCGGAGGGCTCAAGAGGCGGGTTTCCAGTTGTGCTGTTGCTGTCTGCAAGCGTTTCTTCCACCATTGGTTGGGTCGATTCATCAGAGGACGAAGGACTGGAGTCGTCATTCGACTCTGATTCGACGTAATCAACTTTGAGACGGTCGATTGTGTCCGTTTCGCGTTTGCCGTTGCGTTTGATGACGAAGAAGCGATCTTTACGTTGTAGAACTTTGAATGGACCACCGTAAGGTCGTTCGAGTGGTCTGCGTAGACCATCAATACATATGAAGACAAACGGGCAGTGGTGAAGATCTTTGGGAACGTAAGACTTGCGATGCCTTTCCCGTACTGCGGCCGCTTTATTGCGTCGCATGCGCGTAGTGCATGTGGTAGCGAGGAGTGTTCGGGCTTTCAGAGAAGTCGCCTGGTAATTGGTAATTCGGCGCTGGACGTTTCGAGGTCGGCTTTCATTGCTGATCGAATTCCGCGTAGTACCATTTGCAGAACTTCTGTCCAACCAAATGCATTGGCGGCACTTAGTGCGTTGTCAAAGGAAGCGCTCCACCATTCCGTTTGCTTGAAGATGGTAGGCAGTTGTCCGAATGCGCTTACATCCGAGGACTATGAGCAGGTCGTGGGAAATCAACGACTCGCATTGTGAACCACGGTCAGTAGTCACATTTGCTGGACAGCCATGTAAAGCGACCCAGCGCTCGACGAATGCGCGCGTTAGGGTCTCAGCGGATACGTCGGGAATTGGAACAGCTTCAGGCCAACGAGTGGTGCGATCCACGATGGTCCGAATGTAGACCATGTCTTTGGACTGCGGAAGTGGTCGAACGATGTCGAGGTGGACGTGAGCGAATCGAGTTGATAGTGACGGGAAGCGTCCTATCGGAGCGGCAACATGTCGATGAACTTTTGCTCGCTGGCAAGTCAGACAGTTGCTACCAGGCTCATCCCGAGTTTACGTGGCTTTGGGTATGAAGACCGGTGCGAGAAACTAGGACTCTACACCTTGTCCTACCATCGGGTGCGAGTCGACCTCATTATGACCTACCGAATCATACATCTCGGTGAGTTCCCCATGCTAAGGTCAATGCTGCACTTACGAGAGCCATGCAGCACACGCGGACACAGATACAAACTTGTCGTGCCGGATGTGAAATGTGTTCCCCACCCACTGTGCTTCGAACGGAGAGTGGTAAACATTTGGAACAGTTTGCCCGAACATGTGATTGAGGCAACATCTGTGCAACAGTTCAAAACGTTGTTAGATTTGTATTTTGCCTCTATTCGATGCAGAGAACGACTGCACACTTACGATGACATATCACATTTGTGAATCCTGAAATATCGTAAGTCGAATATTTTAAATATTACATGAGAACGACGATGATATCCACGGTTGACAAATTTTATGACGTTTTTCGCCATATTTCGAAAGAGTTGTACAGAATCCATTTCTACTTGCTCCATAATACAGTATTCAGTATTCAGTTGCGTGCCCAAAATCTGACGTCGCGCTGCATGTTGGGCCAAATGTATCTGTCGGCAATCATCTTGACTGAAGTGCGGATGCCAGGGTGCGCGATGTTGTGCAGCGTATCGAAGAGTTTTCGGCGAAAGGCCGTTGGTACCAGTGGACGTGGATATCCGGTAGAGACGTGGCAGATTATTGTACCTGCAAACGAAGGAAGCGGTCTAGGTACCAACGTTAACGTGGACTCTTCGCAGGATGACATTGGGTCTTTTTCGGTTTGCTGAGCAGCGGCCGTAGCTGACAAATCGAGCGACTGATCGGTCGGAGCCAGAGAGTTTACTCTTAAAAGCGTGTCCGCCACGACGTTATCCTTGCCAGACACGTGTTGGACATCCGTCGAAAACAGACACGAAATCTAGATGACGAACTTCACGCGGAAAAGTCGGGGCGAAGGGTTCCGGAAGGGGTAGACGAGTGGTTTGTGATGTGTAAAGATCAGGTTACATTGATCAGACCACATAGTTGGACTGCACCTCGAAACACCGAGGAATATAACATTTACCATTACTTTCGAGAACGTGACGAAAATGGCGAACGGCGGATTATACGGCGAGTTACTCGCGGTCAGATGTGCTGTATTTCGACTCAGCTGTCTGAAGACGTCGGGAGAAGAACGATAGTGGTTGCCAATTACCTTTGGAAAATTGCTGTAGAACAGCGCCAATTGCGTTTTCCGATGTGTCGATGGCTACACTGATTGGGGCGTTCGAGTCGAAGTGATGAAGCGTGACGGCGGAGGGGAGTGCTTCTTTGCTAGCTTCTAATGCTGTTCGTGCTTCAGGCGTAAGATCAACTTTACCGTTGTTACGTCCACGCAGAAGATCGGTGAGCGGTTGCATAAGCTCAGCGCACCGTGGCAGGACTCGGCGATAGTAGTTGACCATACCGTTGAAGCGTCGAATGGCGGCTAGAGTCGTTGGATGAGGAAATTCGCAAATTGCCTGGACTCTGTCCTGCAAAGGGCGGATACTCTCGGAATCAAGTTGATGTCCGAGGAAGTCACTGCGCGGCTGCATGAAAATGCACTTGTCGGATTTGACGGTGACCTGGTGCGCCTTCAGCCGTTCGAACAAGAGTCGTAGATGTGTTCGGTGTTCCTCTTCCGAAGCACTGGCAACCAGGTTATCGTCGATGTACGGGTGGACGAAGTCGAGCCTACGTACGACGGTTTCGACGAGGCGTTGAAATGTCTGCGCGGTGTTGCGCAGACCGAATGGCATTCGTAGAAACTCGACTAGTCAAAATGGTCTAATAACGGCGGTTTTCAGAATGTCCCTGTCTGCGACCGGGATCTGATGATAAGCTTGCGCCGGATCGATCTTTAAGAATACGCCAACGCCATGAAAACCGACTGTACTATCCTGTATGGGAGGGATAGGATAACGATCCGGAATTGTCACGTTGTTGAGGGTGCGGTAATCGCCACATGGTCGCCAGTCTTCTGGTTTTTTCAGGACCATGTGAAGGGGCGAAGACCAAGGCCTGCTGGATGGTCGGACGATCCCAAGTTCGTGCATGTGCTCGAATTCCGCACGGGCGGTTTTGAGCTTGTCCGGAATCAGTCTTCGGGCTTTGGCGGAGACGGGCAGATCCTTGGTAACTATGTGATGTGGCTGTAACTGACAGAGAGGATGAAAGTCGGAAGACTTGAGGGAAACTCT